TTCTAGATTTGGCAGGTTTGGTAACATCAGGGAAGGAAATTAGGTATAATAAAATTGGAAAGGTGTTCAATAAACACAATAAATACAAAAATGGAACTACATTTGTATAGCAATGTGTTATGACTTGGAAGAAAATGCTGTAATTCTGAGAAACAAAGGCAATGAGTTTAGTAACCTCTATAATTATGTAAGATTATTTAATGTTGAATATTTACTTAGGATATGAGACATACAGAAGAAATTAATAGCTACAGTTTTCAGGAGATATGAGAAAGATTTATAGCAATTAAGAATAACTCCAAAGTATTATATGTATAATGTGTGTATATGCACATATATGTATATAAATGTAGCTTATATTTCAGCAAGAATTTATAATGATTGTTATATTAATGGGGAATCCCTGTACCACGACACATTAGGATACGTTTTCAAATTTTAGGCTGAATCCTTGCTGTGCAGGCATAAGGGCAGATGGAAGCTTATGGCTGCTATGTCAATATCTACAGAACATTGATATCTTCTTAGCTAGTCCAAATAGACATTCCATCTGCCATAAACACTAGGCCCAAAGGCCACATTTATAGATTGCACTAAAGAAGTTAAAATTATTTTTAGAGTAAAGGCATTTTTATAGGTTCTGGGAAAAGGAAACTCAATGTGTGTTTCAAAATACTTATTTTCTCATGATTATGAGTGCATTTCCATGTATGCATGGATAGGGAAATAAAATAACCCTAATAGCAATTTTTGTGAATGCTTGCACTAAATTAACTATTGCGCTATTATTGTTTCACTGGGGGTGAGATCTAGCTGTTTGTTTAGCTTCTACATCTTCAGTCTTCCCTCTGCTATGATGATTAGTTTTATATCTTTTTCTTTCAACCACTTTATGGATTCCTTTTCCAAATGGGAGATATAGGGCACATCTTTGCCAACCTGCCAAAAGTTAAAAGAAGACAGTGGAGCAAATAAAACTGAGTATGCATTTTTAATTTGTTTCCTTTTAAAATAAGATTTTCAGTGTCTGAAAATGGTGAGAAAGGCTGCACCCAGGTTTCAGAATCTGATAAAAATTTGAGATATTTGCTAGTAACTAACTGCTCTGAATCCTACTTTAATACCCCTAGCCCCCAAGCCTTTAGAAGAGAGTAGGCACCATTGCCCTGTGCACCTGCCATTTGAGGGAAAGCCATTGCTATACATACCATGTAGCTAACACCTATCTGTATAACAGAACATCACCGAAGAAAACCTCTTTCAGATTAGCATATTACAGTGGATAAGTAAGAGTCATAGATCTTTGCTCACATTTCCTGAGCAAAATTTTCTAATTTGATGGTAGTAAAAAGTACCAGGCAAATTCTTTGACTTTGAGTTTTGTGAAAATACAGATGAAAGGAGAGGAGAAGGATAAATGAAGAGGATTTCTGGAGGTCCCTGTATTATATAAAAAGGCACCAGATACAGATAATGTTCTTGGAGAAGCATGAAGGAATCCTCTAGATGATTAAGGAAAATCACTCTCGTCTTTCTCTACACCTAAATTTAATGTGTTGGTCATTGATTATTGGCAGGTTTGGTTGTTAGAAGTAATCCATTTGAAGTAATTTGAAAGCCTCAAATAGCACATAGTAAGTTGGATGGGGAACAATTTTAAATATTATAGGTACCATATAAATGTCATTCATAAGTATTTCCCCTGTACTCAGTATGAGATGGTGGCCACAGGAGACAAGGAAACTGGCCAGACAAGTCAGCTGAATCAGTTTGAGAGGATTAAGTGAGTAGAAAAAAGATGCCAGACCTAAGACAAGTGCTGTAGTAGACACATTGACTCACCTTCTAACCTACCATGTTCTCAAAGAAAATTTGTCCAAATCTGCTTAAACAAACAGCGTAGGTATCAAATGACCTCAACCAGGCTGACAAGCTATTTGGTGTGGATCTGTGGTCACACTTAAAAGATCTCAAAGAGATAATCTCTTCTAAAAATATGGAATTAGGTTACTGAAAAAAAAACAAGTCTTTCTGTAACAGTGTATCCTCAACTATAAATAGTCTTGCTAACACAGCAAAAGTGAGAGTCATGGTCATCCAGTGCCATGTACAAGCTACAGTTCTGGGGATCATTAGTGAAAATCTAACTGCAAAGAGGTGGGAGAGGGAAAAAGAAAATAGAATAGTAAAGAGTCTAGACATATGACTCCATGTGACAGACAAGATAAAGCGACTCTGTGAGACCTAGAAGATAATGGGACTCTATGAGACAGAGAAGATATAGATTTCTACTAGCCTTACAGAAGCATTGCTGCACTTTATTCTCTGCTTTGGAATTAAATGTTTCCTTACAATAGCACCCTTTTATAAGCATTTAAAATGATCTATTTTGGACACAAATATGCCATATCTAGAACACATGCACATCCTTCTCTAAATACTTTTCATGCACATAATCTACACCACACTGTGTGTGTACAAATTTCTACAATCTGGATCTTTCAATTCTATTCACATTGGTTTTGAGATTTTTTTTAAAAGAAGGAATTATGCCTTCTATATTTACAAATATGCTACAGACACTAGCATGCTTCCAGGCAAACCATTGCCATAAGAAACAGATTCATTTGACCACTGACTCCTTGTTAAACTCTTTTTAGTCAATGATGGTTGTTAACCATGTGGAAGATACAGCAGCAAAAATGTTCTGTAAGTTTCAATTTATTCTAAAAGATAAACTACACTTGGGACTGAATGAATTTGGAAGACCTGTTAGCTAGTACTCATTATTCCATGCCATCAGCATGTTCATACATACATATAACAAAGAAGAATTTCATTAAGCAAGAGCCTATGTGTTATTACTTGGAGAAATAGCAAAGGAAGAAGCTGACTTGATGAATTCTAACCTTAGGAATAAAATACTTAATTGAAGGAAGTCTAACGATACAGATAAATTCACTTCGGAAGTTTTCTGAAAGTTTTTTTTAACTTGGCCATATTTATTTCTTTTGCATTGTTTACTTCATAGAAATTAAAGGGAAATTCTTAAAAACAAAAGTGTCTACATGCTTTTTTCCCTTGAATTGTATAAGCCTAATAAGTATGTTTGAAATGTATAAGATTTCATTTTCAAACCCATCATAATTGATTCATGTGCTTCAAAATAGAAAGAAAAATCTATATTATGTATACTGATAAAAAAAAATGTATTCAAGTTGTAAATCATTAAAACCCAAATGCCCATATTTACATATACAGCATTGGGCATTTTTTTATGCTGCGATCATAGGAACAACAGTCTGGAAAAAAGCCAGAAGCAATGGCTCAACTATGGGTAAAAACCACCTCATGTCACAGAAGGCCAGATGTTGAGAGAATTTATTACATTTCCCAAAATACAATCTATTGTAAACATCCATATATACAAAAGATTTTACACTCTACATTTCTTATGTAATGCAATTGCCCTACATTAATTTACTGAAGTCTTTCTGAAACAAGTCTTTGTTAAAGGGAAATATTCTGCTTAAAATCTTTTTTTTGTTTCATTGAAATGATGTTCCTTAACCAATCCCGGCTTCCAAACTAACTACTTGTTCCTCCCCAGAGGTTGTGTGAGGGGTTAATTGGTGGGAAATGATAGATACTGGTTCATGTTTCTCTTCTGGGAAAAGAACCTGTCAAAATTCCTGAGCATAGAGATTTCCTTTTATTCTCTTCCTCTCCACTTGGTCCAAGGAGATGTAATAACATGGAATGGTGCTTATGTTCCGTAAACTCAAATTTAGTTCTAGGAAGTCTATGGCAACTAGCACAGTGGAGGAAAGAGGATGTGGACATGTTCATGGTGGCTCTCACCCTAATGTGTTTTAACCTCCCCTTTGCTGGCAATTAATGTGAAGTTTGGGTGGATCCATTTTGACTTGTTTTCCTTATTTATCTAATTTTCTGCAAATTCGCCAGCAAAGTATGCATTCTTTATTTGATCCTGCAGACAGTCTGACAGTGAACAGTGTATAAAGCAAGATGTATTTTTATATGAATTTGAAAACACAGTTTTAGATCACAAATTCTAAGAAATTTGCCAATCGGTATTAAGAAATTACTGATTACTCATTGAGAACACTAGTCCAGCTATGATGTTTCCATAATTATTGAAAGAAATAACATAAATTTATGCATAATTACTTGAGATTAAGAAATGGATACTCCATAATATTTGGTGCAGTCAAATACAAAGTCATGTTTAAGTACAAAATTATGAATTCAATTAATAATTAAAAGATTATGCTCATTGGGAAGGTATATCTAAAGCAGTAAATGGCTTTTCAGGTGATTAAACATCTAAATGACGCTTCACACCAAAGAAGAAAGGTTTATTGTGCCTGTATTCCTTAGCCTGAATAATATTCCTCCAACACAATAAACGTAATTCAGTGAAACTAAAATAGAAGAGAGAGTGAAGTTCATTTTGTTCATGAAGCTCTGAATGGCTGGCCTGACTGCTTTCTTCAAGTTACCAGGGATATCACAGCAACAGCAAGAAAGAGGTTAGGTGAGGAATGAAGTGAGGGCGGGTATGAAAATGGAATCACTATGAGAGGCTGGATTAAAGAAGTGAATCATTTTCACTCAAAATGATCTGTACAGAAAGGCAGTGATATAATTAGACATTTTAAAGCTAATAAGAATTTCAGGGTCATTTGTGAGTGGGAGAATGAATTTTATAAACTAGCACTGGCTAAACCCTTCTCTGAACATAGTACAGCAATTATTCTCCCATAAGCCTTCACAGGATACAAATTAGATAGTGTACAAGTAATTATGGATGAATGTGAATATGCTGCTTGGTGATGAAATGTTTTCATAGAAACAGAATGAAATAATGGAAAAAGCATTCTTAACTTTGAATAGATATATCCAAAGATAATGTGCACACTACAAAATGTTTGAAAAGGGTGTTTCAGTAATGTAATCATAAAGGGTCATTTACAGTGGATTTTTCAAAAAGGTCTTTTTATTGTGATATGTAAGGGAATTGTATAGAACAAACATTAAACATGTTACAGCTATTCACAGCTGTATGGATGCCAAATAAATACATTCTGTTCATTATAAGACTTTGATTTTTAAAAATCCATGCAGTTAGATATGTATAGTACCATTAATAAAGACCTTATATCTAATGAAACTAAACACTGAATTTCTTTCCATTTCTACACATTTTTACAGTTATGCTTAATTTGATTAAATGTTTTAAAAACCTACACTCAAAAATTGATAGATACGTAGTTTTTAAAACATTGCTGTTTGGCCGTATTTATTCCAGCATCCTTGCTTTACCATTGCTTCTTAATCCTTTGTGCATTATCTTCTCAAAGCCAGTTGAACCTGTAATTTCACAATTCTCATGTGCTGTGGCTCCAAGGAGCACTGCCACGCTCGGTGCAAGAAAAGGGTCCTGCATTTGGAACCTCTCTGACAGAATGACAAGACATGTTCAAGAATTAAAATGAGTTTTCTGCATTCACCCAACTCTTTGTACTCTTCAAAGAAATACAAAAGAAAAATCAGTGTCTAGAAGACTGAACATTTTCTACATTCAAGGTTCAATCACAAAATAATTATTTGAAATACCTCCTTAGTAATGCACTCTATCAACTTCAGAAATATGTCCCAGCTCCAGCCACTCTCTTTATCAGAGCTTTGCTTATTACCTCAATGAGAGAACAATGTTATCAGTTGAAAAAGGATGGAACCTCCAGAAATATCACCAATACATGAAAACTCTTATCAGGGTAGCCCAGCAGGTAAAAGCTTCGTCTTGCCAATCAGACAAACCTACAATTCTTGACTCTACCCCTTTCAAGATGAATGACCTTTGGGAATTTAATCTTTCTTGGCCTGTGGGGGTTGTTGTGGGAATTAAATGAGATGTCAATAAATACTTAATCAGAATGCACAGCTACTCCTCTTAGCTTCCGGCTCCTCTCCTAGGAGCTGTGGAGATGCTAGGCTCACTATTAAAGAGTGGCTAATCAATTGTATGGCTATTCACAATGATCTTACTGTGTTGTCAGATATGTTTTGTGCAATTTGGTTCTAATGATGTATCAAAGCTTGTAAGTGATTTTATTTTTAATAAATTGGAGAGGGCTCGAGGTATAGATGTATGAAAGTCACTTTCAAAATGCTAATTCATGAATGAAAGGGGTTGTGTTACAGCTACTGCACTGGGAGCTGCACACAATCCTGTTCCTCCAAGGGCAGGCCTCTCACAACAGACATAAATATCATCTCATTTTGTGTTTTGGATTCAAAAGATCAAAAAATTCTCCAAAAGACTGTCCATAAACTTCTGAGTTTTTAGTTATGCAAAAATGAGAATATGTCAGCAGAAGAAATGGAGAAAATTCCACAGTAGGCTTAAGAACAATTATTTGGAGGTCCAGAAGTAAATTAACTCAGTTGCCTTTTTATGGTTTTTACCTGACTCTATATTTGGTAATATTTTGGGGCACAGGAGGAAGTTTAAGGAAATTGAATATACGAGGTTATATTGTGCCTAGTGAAGTAGCATATGTTCATTCAACAAATATTAAGTTCTTTCTATGTGCCAGGCACTTTCTATTCTAGATGCTAGTGTGTGGAGCATAAACAAAACAGACAAATCTCTCTGCTCTTGGAGCATGTATTTGGGTGTCTGTATACATATGGGATAGAAGAGATAGCATTTGAAATGACTGAGAGAAGATAAACTATTCAACAAATGACACCAGAAAAAGCTGCATAGCAAATTAGAACAGAATAAATTTGAATTGAAACCTTGTATCTTACAAACACAAACATCAAGCAAATACACACGTACGAATCCAGATGGAGCAGAGATGCAAGTGTATAAAATGGAACCAGGCTAGAAAAAATTCTGGAAAAAATGTTTTAATGATTTTAGAACAAGAAAACCTTCTGTACATATGAAATAGTACGTAGAACTCATAAAAGGTAAAGATTATTTACATGAAATTATTTTTAAAAACCTTTGCATTGGAAAACTTGTGAAAAGGTAAATCAATTGTCTAGTTTTCTTAAGACATAAAATTCTCTTAATAGGAATAAGATCAACCACCCACAGAAAAATAGCACAAGCACCAGATTCTATGTAGTTTATTGATATATGGGAAAACTTATCAGAATTGTTGGAGTAGAAATGATCAATAAAAAAATCACTGAAAATATTTTTTTCTCTATATTTGGATTCTGATTATCTTATGTTGCCTTTATTCTTTAATAAAAATACTTAATAGGAAATACTGACTAAATGGCATTGAGGATTTTGTACCCTGGATAAATCATAAATAATTTTTTGAATCGGTATTCAGTTAAAATAATTTTTTATATCCACAAACTGTTGAATTATATAGCTAAACAATTATAAGAAAAATCTTCATTGTTGGAACATATTAACACTTTCATAAATTGTAACCATAGCACCTAGTCATTTTTCTTTATATTAAAACACCAAGATTACATGAAGCATTTTTAAGTGGTCTCCTGACTCCTAGTGAAACACAAAAGGAACATTTCATGTGGTTGTGTCACATTTCAAATAATTGTGATGACTAGAGTACCTTGTTACAAATACTAAATGGCATTAGTGATTAATATTTCATATTTCTATTGTGCATTTTATTTAATGAGCTTTAAAAACTCCAGTAAGAATTTCAGTTGTCATCAATTTCATATTTTTGTGTAAATGTCTTTATAATTTAAAATTTTATTTAAATGTAAACCGTTTAAAAAAATTAGTCTTTATAACTTTATGAAGACTCCAAAGTTACTTAACCAAAAAGTTTGTAATTGAAACATATGCTAAGCAGTACCTCAAATATCAAGGATACAGGTGGTTCTTATAAAAAAAATTTAAAGAAACTTCAAATAAGATTTTGAACCTTTAAGCAGAATTTGAAAGAAAAAAATATGCATTGCAATATATCAAAAGTGAAAGCCCAAAGACTTACCAAAATCTATAGATCTTTGTCCTGCATTTTATGATATTTTTCATACTGGTCTATATAAACAACTTTGAGCTCATATTCTGCAATTCTACAAGCCTCAGGGAATATTCAGGATTCTTCCTACTGCAAGTGACAAAAGCCCAGTTCAAATTACCTTAAGAAAATAAAGGAATTCAATTAGCTTACTGGCTTCAGAAAGGGTTAGATCCAGGAGCTAATAAGACAATATTAATTTAGCTCTTTATATGATAATTTGGCAGACATTTTCTATATTCTGGCCTCCAGCAGCTCCACATTCTATTCTACCAGCTTTCAGCTTTCAGGCCAGGAATAAGAAAAAACATTTTGGGGACTGAGTATTGGCACTAGTCCATTCTAGTTTAATTCATGATATCTCAGGTATGAGTTACATGCTGACCTTCAAAGCCAAACTGAACCTTGTCCACTTCGACAGGGGAAGGAGTGGCTTCTCATGAGTAATTTGAGCTACTTTCAGAAGAAAAATGAATGTGGTACTAGAAAAATTTCCCCTTTGTATAATTCCCATAAAATATTGATTCATGCTTTCTATTGTTTTGTATTTATACTTCCTCCTGAAACTGTTATTCTTTCTTGGGTTATTGGGAAAGACACTTAATTGTTCTTTTTGACTTGCTTTCTCAGTCTTGCTTTCTCTTACATACAGTTTCCTTGGTATACCTAGAGTGACAAACTTAAAGAATAGAGGTAACCAGGTCACCATTCAAACTCAGATGTCCATCCTTAGTCTCAAATCTTTGATACGTTCATTCTCCTCATTACTGTAATACTCAATTTTAGAAGGTAATGTTTCCTCATGACATAAGAACAAAATATAAAAGATTAAATTACTTGTGATATTATCTTCTCTAAAACCAATTGATAAGGTTAGGCTTTGTGTCCCCACCCAAATCTCATCTTGAATTGTAATCCCCATAATCTCCACATATCAATGGAGAGACCAGGTGAAGGTAATTGCATCACAGGGAGGTTTCTCCTTGCTGTTCTCATGATACAAATGAGTTCTCCCAAGATCTGATGGTTTTATAAGGAGTTCTTCCCCCTTTGCTTGACACTTTCCTTCCTGCTTCCTTGTGAAGATGCCTTGCTTCCCATTTGCCTTCTGTCATGATAGTAAGTTTCCTGAGCACCCCCCCCACCCATGATGAACTGTGAGTCAATTAAACCTCTTTTCTTTATAAATTACCCAGTTTCAGATAGTTCTTTATAGCAGTATGAAAATGGACTAATTTAATACAAGTCTGAATGGGGCTGAATTGTTTTTTCCACCTGATAAAGTTCTTCCAGTACAGCTGAGTTGAATATTTGTACAAACATTAATTCACAGGTATATTAGAATAAGATACTTTATAGGACTCATAATAAACCAAATTCTCCAAAGGGAAGCCTTGAATACTGATTTTTTTTTTTTTTTTGTCTGTAGTGTACAAGAAGTTTGAAGTTTTTCGTTACAAATGAGATTAAACTATGATAATTTTCTGTATGTGCCACCATATTTTCATGCAAAAAAATCTGTGCTACTTTTTTAATAAGGTTGACTTATGGCCTTGAGAACATTTTTTTTCACAAAATAAAACTATTATACTCCATTGGGCAATTTTGAATTTTTTTAAATACTTAAAGAATTATAATCATGCTTCTCTTTTTCAACTTGTAACACAAAGGCAGCAACTATACTTGTAATAGATTCATTTAAAAACTGAACTTGATGAATGTCTAGTAATGTTGGGCAATACTACTGTTTTTTTAACTAAGATGGTTCAATGGGTACCTGATCAGTCAGCACATACTCATGAGATAAAATATACATAAAATGATATTCAATTAGATTATTCAGTGCCACATTACCACATAAGTTTATTTAAATTTTACTTTTAAAGTAAAGGTGAAATATCCATAACACCTGGCAAACTATGAATTGGGTATAATAGAATACATAACAAAAAAGCTTAGGGAACTTACAACACAAATTCTTCAGTGCATTCACCTCTTAGATATATTGGTAATCAATAATTATTGGGTTTTCTTTTTCCATCTTGACTTTTTTTGCATCTTCATTAGCATGCAGTTTGCAGTAATAATTAGGAAGATGAGCTTTGAAATAGCTGGTTTCAAATACTGCCATAAGCTTCATGCTCTGAAAATTAACATTTCTGTGCCTCAATCTTTACATTGGTAGAATAGAAATAACAGGACCTACTCTGTAGGGTTATCAGCAAGTTTATGTGGCATAATAGGAAAGTATTTAGACAGAATTGCACACATAGTATACACTCTATACAGACTAAATGCCATTTTATTTATGCAGCTCACCTGATATGGGAAGAGAGTTCTTAGACTCCAGATAACAATATCAACCAGATCTAGTAAATAAAGGCAGAGACAGTCTCCATTTAAACTAGTACATTGCATCAGACTTAATATTCAAAACAGTAAGATGCATTGAGAAATAGAATGAGTGTTGGTTATCTAAGGGATAACACATTGAAATGTTGTGAATTTATAGAACACCTTTGATACATATATTTTAATGTATGTTCTGGATCTCCACTGCAGCTCTCAGAAGAGGGGTAAAAGGATTGACTTTAGGAAGTCTGACAAGTCCTCTCTCGCAGCAAGAGTTAGAGTGTGAGGATGTGTGCAGCTGCGTTTAACCCTCAGGTTTAGTGATGGGAAATTGGTGAAGTTTTATCTGTTGGCTCAGTTCAGTGGTAAACTCAAGTGTGGGCTATGTCTTCCATATTATTCTGCTTTCCCAACAATGAGTTATTTAATTCTGCACTTGGAACATTCAACAAATAACCTGTGGTTTTCAGAAATTTTTATGACTCCAGGTCATAGAATGAGAAACGAATAACTAAAAATTAATGAGACATTTTTGTAGTTCATACGTATCTTCCACTGTGATGGAGCTTCCAAAGAAGAACAGAATATACTTCTCTAACTCATTAGGAAATACTCAGCTCAATATGAGGAAAAACCCTTATCATTAAATTCACTTTTTGGTAGACATCAGCAACAAATATTCTTGTTGGGACATCTATGTAGCACCAACTCATAAATTAGAATAACGTTTGAAAGTTACTTGAATTCACTATTCATTCTAATGAATTCTTGATTTTTATTCTCTATCTTTAAATGTCCACATCATCTTTGAAGTATTTTGTTTAGTCTGGAGAGGTACAAAAGCTTTTGAAATAAAACAAAAGTAGGTTGGCAGATTTCACAAGAATATTTACTATAAAAAGATATATTTTCAGAAAGTAGCAGCTTTATAACATCAGATTAAAATAAAACAATTGTGTCAGGTAGAATATGTCATCTCTTAAAAGCTCTGTTTCTTATTAGACTCATTTTCCCTTCTATTTCCTCTTTTGACTTCAGTTCATCGAGTAGCATTTGCGTTCTTTATGAAGTCATGACACATCAGATAATCTTTCTACATGAGCCTGTGGTGCATGCTGTCAATGTAAATTTGAGGGTGCAAACAAAGAAGTTTAAAATTTTCAGAAAGCAACATGACTCTCTGCTCCTCATCAGTCTAGCCAGCAGGAAGGTGATGAGATAAGGATGTGACCCAGATAAAAGCCAGAGAGGGTAGAAGTAAAGTCATCTGGATATCCAAAGGTGTCTTTTTGTGAGGTTAGGGATAGTGGAGAGTTTGCATATTGCTGTTGTGATTCCCATGAGAAAGGGATTTCGGTGATGCAGGAAGTACAGGAGAGAGCGCTACTGACAGAGTTAAGGAAGTATGGCACTGCCCGTCCGAGACCTCGAACCAAACATGACCACATGATTTTGCGTCTCAAGCTCACTGAGCCTAGGTTTGCTTATCTTTACATTGGTGATAGCTACCTGTGACAGATGGTATTTTTCAAAAAGATCCACAACAATATTTCTGGTCCCCACATGCTTTTCCAAAATTGTGCCTCTGAAACAGAGGTCATTATTTACCCACCTCTGGAATCTAGACAAGAGTTTCTGACAGCCTTTACACTTTAGGTAATACGACATGGTTTCAAGGTTAGGTCATGCTCTCTTGGGGATGTGAATGTTTGACTCCCTGAGGCACTATACAAGTCTAGTTTCCTGAGTCTAGCATGAAAGAGAAACCATGTGGAGAGACCACCAGGAACTGCTTGCATCTTCCCAAAGCACCAGGCTTGAGAATGCAAAAATCTCCAGACTACAATCTTTTTTTTTAATTGTATTTTAGGTTTTGGGGTACATGTGAAGAACATGCAAGATTGTTGCATAGGTACTTACATGGCAGTATGATTTGCTGCCTTCCTCTGTATCACCTATATCTGGCATTTCTCCCCATGCTATCTCTCCCCAACTCCCCACCCCCGGCTGTCCCTCCCCTATTTCCCCCCAACGGACCCCAGTGTGTGATGTTCCCCTCCCTGTCTCCATGTGTTCTCACTGTTCAACACCCAACTTTGAGTGAGAACATGCGGTGTTTGATTTTCTGTTCTTGTGTCAGTTTGCTGAGAATAATGGTTTCCAGGTTCATCTGTGTCCCTACAAAGGACATGAACTCATTGTTTTTGATGGCTGCATAATATTCCATGGTGTATATGTGCCATATTTTCTCTGTTCAGTCTATCATCGATGGGCATTTGGGTTGGTTCCAGATCTTTGCTATTATAAACAGTGCTGCAATGAACATTTGTGTGCATGTGTCCTTATAGTAGTACGATTTATAATCCTTTGGCTATATACCCAGTAATGGGATTGCTGGGTCAAATGGAATTTCTATTTCTAGGTCCTTGAGGAATTGCCACACTGTCTTCCACAATGGTTGAACTAATTTACACTCCCACCAACAGTGTAAAAGTGTTCCTCTTTCTCCACATCCTCTCCATCATCTGTTGTCTCCAGATTTGTTAATGATCGCCATTCTAACTGGTGTGAGATGGTATGTCAATGTAGTTTTGATTTGCATTTCTCTAATGACCAGTGATTATGAGCATTTTTTCATATGTTTGATGGCCTCAGGTATGTCTTCTTTGTAAAGTGTCTGTTCATTTCCTTCACCCACTTTTGAATGGGCTTGTTTGTTTTTTTCTTGTAAATCTGTTTTAGTTCTTTGTAGATTCTGGATATCAGCCCTTTGTCAGATGGATAGACTTGCAAAAATTTTTTCCCATTCTGTTGGTTGACGATTCACTCTAATGACTGCTTCTTTTGCTGTGCAGAAGCCGTGGAGTTTGATTAGGTCCCATTTGTCTATTTTGGCTTTGTTGCCAATGCTTTTGGTGTTTTGGTCATGAAGTTCTTGCCTACACCTATGTCCTGAATGGTTTTGCCTAGATTTTCTTCTAGGATTTTTATGGTGTTAGGTCTTATGTTTAAGTCTTTAATCCATCTGGAATTAATTTTAGTGTAAGGTGTCAGAAGGGGTCCAGTTTCTGCTTTCTGCACATGGCTATCCAGTTTTCCCAACACCATTTATTAAACAGGGAATCCTTTCCCCATGGCTTGTTTTTGTCAGGTTTGTCAAAGATCAGATGGTTGCAGATGTGTGGTGCTGTCTCTGAGTGCTCTGTTCTCTTCCATTGGTCTATATCTCTGTTTTGGTACCAGTACCATGCTGTTTTGATTACTGTAGCCTTGTAGTATAATTTGAATTCCGGTAGTGTGATGCCTCCTGCTTTGTTCTTTTTGCTTAGAATTGACTTGTCTATGCGGGCTCTCTTTTGGTTCCATATGAAGTTTAAGATTTTTTTTTTTTTCCAGTTCTGTAAAGAAGGTCATTGGTAGCTTGATGGGGATAGTGTTGAATCTAAATTGCTTTGGGCAGTATGGCCATTTTCACGATCTTGATTCTTCCTAATCATGAACATGGAATGTTTCTCCATCTGTTTTTGTCCTCTCTTATTTCATTGAACAGTGGTTTGTAGTTCTCCTTGAAGAGGTCCTTTACTTTCCTTGTTAGTTGTATTCCTAGGTATTTTATTCTCTTGGTAGCAATTGTGAATGGCAGTTTATTCTTGATTTGGCTCTCTTTAAGTCTGCTATTGGTATATGGGAATGCTCGTAATTTTTGCACATTGATTTTGTATCCTGAGACTTTGCTGAAATTGCTTATCAGTTTCAGGAGATTTTGGGCAGAGACAATGGGGTCTTCTAGATATACAATCATGTTATCTGCAAATAGAGAGAATTTGACTTCCTCCTTTCCTTTTTGAATACCCTTTATTTCTTTTTCTTTCCTGATTGCTCTGGCTAGAACTTCCAGTACTATATTGAATAGGAGTGGTGAGAGAGGGCATCCTTGTCTAGTGCCAGATTTGAAAGGAGATGCTTCCAGATTTTGCCCATTCTGTATGATATTGGCTGTTGGTTTGTTGTAAATAGCTTCTATTATTTTGAGATACATTCCATCAATACCTAGTTTATTGAGGGTTTTTAGCATAAAGGGCTGTTGAATTTTGTCAAAGGCCTTCTCTGCATCAGTTGAGATAATCATGTGGTTTTTGTCTTTGGTTCTGTTTATGTGGTGAATTATGTTTATAAACTTGCATATGTTGAACCAGCCTTGCATCCCCAGGATGAAGCCTACTTGATCATGTTGGATAAGCTTTTTGATGTGCTGTTGCAATCAGTTGATTATTTTATTGAAGATTTTTGCATCTATGTTCATCATGGATATTGGCTAGAAGTTTGTTTGTTTGTTTGTTTGTTTGTTTGCTGAGTCTCTGCCAGGTTTTGGTATCAGGATGATTTTGGTCTCATAAAATGATTTGGGAAGGTTTTCCTCTTTTTGGATTGATCAGAATAGTTTTAGAAGGAATGGTACCAGCTCCTCTTTATAAGTCTGGTAGAATTCGGCTGTGAGCCCATCTGGACCTGGGCTTTTTTTTTTTTTTTTTTTTCATGGTAGGCTCTTAATTGCTGCCTCAACTTCAGACCTTGTTATTGGTCTATTCAGGGTTTTGACTTCTTCCTGGTTTAGGTTTGGAAGGACGCAAGTGTCCAGGAATTTATTCATTTCTTCCAGGTTTACTACTTTATGTGCATAGAGTTGTTTGTAATAATCTCTGATGATGGTTTGAATTTCTGTAGAATCTGTGGTGATATCCCCTTTATCATTTTTTATGTCATCTATTTGATTATTCTCTTTTCTTTTTTATTAATCTGGCTAGTGGTCTATTTTGTTGATCTTTTCAAAAAACCAGCTCCTGGATTTATTGATTTTTTTGAAGGGTTTTCTGTGTCTCTATCTCCTTTAGTTCTGCTCTGATCTTCGTTATTTCTTATCTTCTGCTAGGTTTTGAGTTTTTTTGATCTTACTCCTCTAGCTCTTTCAATTTTGATGATAGGGTGTTGATTTTAGATCTCTCCTTGCTTCTCATGT